TATGTTAGAAGCATTATTTGCAACATCCAAATGGTGGAAGTGTCCATCAACAGATGAATAAAATGTGGTCTCCCCATACAATGGAGTATTATTCAGCCGTGATGAAATCAAGTACTGATACATGCTACAACCTGGATAAACCTGGAACACATACTAAGTGAAAGAAGCCAGACACAAAAGCCCACATTTTATATAAATCCATTTAAATGAAATACCCAGAAAAGGCAAATCTGGGCAGAAAGCAGACTAGTGGTTGCCAGGGTTATGGGGGAAATGGTAAGTGACTGCTTAATGGCTATAGGGTTTCCTTTTGGGGTGATGAAGTTCTCGATGATTGTGATGGTTGCACAATACTGAATGTACTTAATACCAGAGAACTATACACTTTAAAATTGTTACATTTTACTACATCTACATTACAACTTTTACAAAAAAACCCCCAAAAAACAACAACAACAACAAAAACAATCCACAGGCCCTCCCCACAAAGCAGAGCCTATCTCACTAACCTTATTACTATATGCTAGGACATCAGACTAGAAAAGAGACTCAGGCAAGTATACACAGTTCCTTCCACAGTATTCTACAAGTAGGTAAGTTACTACTTCTTCCTGGGAAAAGAATAAACATCAGAGAAAAAAAATATGCTCCTCTAACATTTTTCCCCTCCTGAGATGATAAGTGTATGGTAGATTAAGACAGTTACAAATTGTCTGACATTCTACCCATCAAGAAGTGGGGCCTATGACCCTTAAATCTGGCTAAGCTTCAACAATGACCATTAAAATATGGGAGAAATGACACTGGACCAGTTTGGGGCCCAGACGTTTAAAAAATGACAGCTTTCATGTCCCCTGAAATACTTGATCTTGAAACCTACCAACCATGTTGTAAAAAAGCACAAACAGCCCTGTGGAAAGGCCTATGTGCAGAGGAACTGAGACCCCAATCACACTCCCAGGTGAAAGCATGTAGCAATTCCGAGCCATGTGAGTAAGTTCTCTCGAAAGTAAATACTCCAGACCCAGTCAAGTCCTCCAGCAGTATTCACCAAGCCCTTACAATACTGTGGGATAGCTTGTTATGAAGCATCAGATAACACAGCACAGTGGAAATTCCCTTCCCTCTCTTGGAGCAGATAATGTGTCCAAACAGCTTACAAAAAAAAAAAAATCTAGCTTCAATACAAAGCAAGTATCTCAGCTCTGGTCTTTTGAGGAAAATTATCCTGGGAGCTCTAGTATGTGCCTAGCTGTTTTAAGCATAGAGTGGGGCAAGCACGACACACTGGTGCTGTGGATCTGGGGCAGGTTACGTTATAACAGGAGGTCTGAAATACAACAAATGTTAACATGTTCAAATTGGATTCACAGTCTGAGCTATGTGCTTCATCACTGTCCAGTTCTGGAAGAAACCTCAACCTCATTCTCCCCAATCTCACCAAAGGAAGAATGTGGGGAGGGGGGTGCTTTTGTTCCACTTCTGAACGGTTGGCCATAAAAAATATTTCAGATGGGCTGGGAAGGTAATACTTCCTCCTGCAGGCAAGGAAAGGCAGCTCTGAGGAAAATGGCTGGAGAGACCAAGAACCCTTTCCCTCACACTTCAGCCTATGTAACAAAGGGGTATGTGCTTGTTTATTTAATTTATAAAATCTATTCCGGGGATCAAAAGCTAGTAATTCTTTTCTCTTTTTATTTTTTGGTAGAAAACAATTGTCCCATATTCTCTTCCTAAATCAGCTCCCCTCTCCCCCGTGCACACGCACACACACACAATCACCACATTAGAAGACAAATATGTTATAGTACTTCCCATCTTAAAAAAATACAAAAGGTTAACTTCCTCTACACCACTCTCCTTATCAGTTATTTAGCCCCCATTTCTCTGATTCTCTTTGCTTCAAAACTCTTGTGTCTCCTGGTATCTACAGTCCGCTCTCACCAGAATTTTACCCTCATCACTCTATAAAACCCCTATCACAGTCATGAGGGGAGTAGCTACCTTTACAAATCTGGAGACTAATATTCAAACCATGATGGGTATATAAAGTAAGAGCATTTAACAGTTCATTTACCATCTTTCTCCTTGTGAAAAAGTGCCTTGCTTGTTCTCAGGGCCTCTCCAGTCTACTTCGTGGGTTTCCTCTCCTCTCCCTGAACGTGAAGTTAGAGCAAACCAGGCCTCAATCCTCACGAAGTGTGTTTATCAACACTCTCTACAATTCATCTGGTCAAGATTTCTCAACCGTAGCACTGTAACATTCTGGACCAGATAAATCTTTGTTGTGGGAGCTGTCCTGTGCATCTCAGGATGTTTAGTAGCATCCTTGACCTCCACTCACTAAATGCCCATAGCAGCCCCAATCATGATATCAAGAACGTGTCTCCATGGTCCCTGGGTGGCTCAGACATTAGGGCATCTGCCTTCGGCCTGGGTCATCATCTCCAGGTCCCGGGATGGAGCCCCGCATCAGACTCTCGGCTCAGTAGGTAGTCTGCTCCTCCCTCTCCCTCTGCTTCTCCTTCTGCTTCTCCTTCTGCTTGTGCTCTCTCTCTCTCAAATGAATAAATAATATCTTAAAAAAGAATGTGTCTCTAGACATTGCCAACAGCCCCTGGGGGGGCAAAACTGCTCCTGGTTGAGAAGCACTGGCCTAGTTCTTTGGCTTTCAGTACCAGATATATACACTGGCAATAGCTGGAACCGCTCTCCAACTGCCTTCTCATTATGTCCACTTATATGTCCTATCAAGTATATCCTACTTAATACGTCAAAACTAAAATTCTGATTTATACTCTGCCCCATATATGTCTGTACCTTGTCACCCTGTTTGACACCTCTCTTGCTCTTAACCTCACAGTTTTATCCATCAGTAAATCCTACTGGCTCTGCTCTCAAAATATACCCCAAATCTGACTACTACTTAATACCTCCACTGTTACCAAGCCCAAGCCCATATGATCCCTCACTAAAATTATTACCTCCTAACAGTTTCCCTGCTTCCACCTTGGTTCCCCTAAGTCCAGTGGTTCTCACCTAGGAACTTGTTAGAAATGCAAATTCTCCTCCAAACCTAGTAAATTAGAAACTCTGGGGATGGGACACAAAAAATGGGGTAATTAAGTCCTCCATATCTGAGGTCACTCCCCTGCCCCCATCTCTCCAATCATATTCCCTATACCACTTTCTCCCTAGCTCACCTTGCTTGGTCACACTGAACTTCCTGTGTTCTAGAAGCACTCAGAACGCTCCCACTACTGGGAGCCCAGTAGTTGGGAAAAAAAGGGAGCCTTTTCAATAGTTGTCTCTCTTCCTGGAAAGTTATTCACCCTCACAGATAATCTTCAAGTCTCTATTTAAATAATGTCCCCGTTTCAACGAGTGCTTCTTGGACTAGCCTACATAAAATAGAAACACCTTCTTCCTGAACTAGCCTCCTTACTCTGCTTAATTTTTCACCAAAGCCCTCTGTTACTACCTAACCAGGCTATGTGTCTGTTGTGTTTACTACTGTCTCCCTACATTCTACTATGTAAACCCCACATGGACATGTTTTATTTACTGTTATACTTTGAACAACTAGAAAAGAACCCTATACTTACAGATGTTCAATAAGTATTAACTTTCTGAGGCAATGGCTGCCAGTGGTCCATTAGAGGAATGATACAAAGAAATCAAGAATATTTAATGTTACTTAAAAAAAATACCAAGAAAATTTCAGGGCAGGAAAAAAAACCCCAAAACATTAAAACAAACAAACCCCAAACCCAGGGCTGTAAGGCAACTGAGAGGGACAGATGCAGCAGCTGACAGTAAAGGCTAAGGAGTTCAGAGTAAATTAATTACTGGTTAGCGAAGTTTAGGAAAACTTCAGAACTGAGCCCAGAAGGAATGGTCAGCCTTCTGTAAACCAAGGACGACAGATGAAATTACAGAGACAAGAGGACCATGTGCACTACCAGCGAAGTGGAGGCTTGCTGAGGGCAGTCTTCCCAAGGTGTGTTCATACAGCATTACCCTGAGGAACAGTTTGGTGAAAAGGATGGTGGAACATAGGAAAAGGCTGGATTAGACAACTTTAAACAGATTTCTTTAATGCAGGGCTTCTTGGTTAACATGTTTAATGTCAATCTCTAAGAGAGAAAGTAGAGTATGCAGTATTTCCCTGCCTTAACCACACCATCTTTTCTTCTTTTGCAAAAGCACACAGACATGCAGCCAAGCTTAACTTCTATTACTAATGTTAGTGACATTTTTACCCACCTCATTTTGTTGTAATTTGCCTACTAAATTAACACAGTAATAGTGTGTCCTCAAACGAAAGACTCCTTTCATGAAACCAAGTCTGCAACTCCAATTCTGAACATGCCCAGAGGCCAGCTGTCATTTAATAAGATCGGGCTCAATATTCACTACACATTGTTTAGTTATCACAAATCTTCCACTTGGGAAATAAAATCCTGAAATGTTATTTTCACCACTCTATTCTTGATTCAGTTTGCAATAAATAACCCAACATGAGAACAATTTAAGCCTGTAATATTTTAAATGCCTTTTTAATGCTTTTGAGAATTTTAAGTATTTTGAACTCCTAAAAAGATACTTAGATCTAAGATAAACATACTAGAACCAAACAACAACAACAACACAGTACCACTATAGCAGCTGGAAGGTACTCAAGAGACCACCCAATCCAGTGTGCTGAACGAGGCCTCGCCAGCCCTGTTACAAGAAATCATGATGTCTTTACTCAAAGTCAAATAACAAGTTAGGTACCAACAACAGCAAGCACAGCTCAGGTCAGCTGACATGCCAGTTGGTTATCTTTTTAATACACGATACAGTGTATACACAGATTTTAACTAGGGAAACTTAAAAACTGATAAAGAAGATAAAATCTGGGGTAAATCAACTCCAGTGGTCTTCAAAGGACATGATGAGAGAAAGTAAACTGAAGACATCCTTTTCTTTCTACAAAAGAGGCAAGACAAACCAAGTGTAAAAGCTAGAGATTTATTGTTATTTTGTGATTAATAAACTGTCAAATTGGTTATGACACTATCCCACACTGTATACCACCATTTGCCAGTACAAAAGTTTTTGAACCAGACTGAGGCATAAGGCAGAGAGAGCAAAGACACATGAATATCATCCTTAACAACCTCCTCTAGTCATGCCTCCACCTTGACCATCATTCATGTTTTCCTCCTGGGGAAAGTGTCAGAACAGTGCATGGGCTGGTGGGCAACCTGGCCTCTTGACCTTTTTTAATAGCAAGCAACTTACAGAAGTAATGGAATTCAACTTGTATTTCCCTTGATTTTACCGGTCTGAACTCATTATAGGTTACTTTAACATTTTAATTTCCTGTAACTGTACATGAGAGAATATAACGACCTAAGAGAATACTGAACCAGAGTCAGCCAAATATATTACTGACCCCCAAGTTATGTTTTAATTGGTCCTAAAGGAATGTACCACACCCCAACAGTTTGAGAGTTAGGCAAAAAGAACTTCTTTGGGGAGGGAAGAAAAAGGCTGCAGAACAGCCAAATGTACTCAACATTGTTAAAACGGCTCTTTGTTTTTCACCCCTGAATGATACCTCTTTACTACACTATATGCACAGAAATCCTAACAGAATCTTGGTTGCCAGTATTATTTAGGCTGGCCCAATCCAGGAGAGATCCCCACCCCCCGCCCCCAGTTCCCCTTCTCTGAGGCTCTGAAAAGCACAATATTTAACTATTTCTTAATAGAACTACCAAAACACTTCAGAAACAAGTGGCTCACAAATCATTTTAAATTCATGTATTGCCTGTGCATGAGAAAACTGACAAACCCAAAAGATAGTTCTATTTTTATATGGCAATTAAAAATAACTGAAACATCAAGACACTTTCAGTGAAAGCAACATTTCAATTACAAATTGTAATGCCTGTTGAACTACCTATGGGAGAAGCTGAAAAGTCCTAGGCAAATGCACTTTTGGGTTATACTACAGTGCTCCTTCAGTCTGCACAAAGATGAAGGTAAGTTACAGTCAATCTGTGAATGTTGAGACAATGTTACATTATGTTGTCTGTACAATTAAATGTCCTTAAGAGATAACCAGAATCAGCTTTCCTACTGTATTTTCAGCAAACCTGACTAACCGGCACTTTTGCTGAGAGATGTTTATCAAAGATGCTGTAAGATTCTACACAATTAGGAAATACTCAGCTTTAAAATATTTCCTTATCTTCACTTTTTTTGGTTACAGGTGCTTTGCTCAGATAATCTATTGCAGTTTGTTTCTAGAAATGCAATCCCAACTGTGCATACTACATTGTATACAAATAAAGCAGAAACTGTCAGTAGTATAAATCTTACAGCATTTTGTTTGCAAAAATACATGCCAAAGTCACAATAAGCAGTATTGTACCACAAATTATAGAGCGCAAATGATTTGCTTCTTTTTAATGCTTTTATTCTACATAAATTACTACCATAGGCTAATGTTTAAAAAGCAAATAAATTGGACAGATGCAGGACAAAAATCTGTTCACCCAACTATAAAAGGTGATTTTTAAAAAAAAATTACAATAAATGCAGAAGTGTTTGATGCATGCAGTAGCCTTAAATGAAAAAGCATTGATTCCCACTGTTAAAAACAAAAACAAAAACAAAAACACACAGAGAAACCCACACATCTTACTGCACTCCACCTTAAAATGCATCATATTGGGTTTGTTTATAACAGCACAGAATTCCAAGAGTCAAAATGAAATAAAGCGGGTATTTTAAAGATTTAAGAGCCGTTATCAAAAATAAATTACATTTTTTCAAGATACAGAAATGCTGCTATGATGGCTGGGAGCCCAGTAACCGTTCAATAGCGGCATTGATATCACCTCCTGTTGCTATTAGCGCTTGCAAGTTTGCTTCACGGTTCAAAAATCCCATTGCACTGAGCTGTTCCAGTTGTTGCTGAAATCTGACTTCTGGATTCTGTAACTGTTAAAGGAAGAAAAAAAAAAACACTAACCAAAACTCTAAGGAACATCAGTCTGTGTTACACCTGGATAACCTCTAAAAAGTTTTAAATGCTTTTACAAATATGCTGGTCTACAAGCTATAAAAGCACTGCCTGTCTTGAAACATAGTCAACATAGTTAAAAGTCCATTAGCACTAAATTTTGTTTTTAAATAATCTAATTTATACTTAACCCTGCCAAACAGAACACAAAACTCTGCTTTAAAAAAAATCGCTTTTGGGGTGATCCCTGGGTGGCTCAGTCGGTTAAGTGTCCGACTCTTGATTTCAGCTCAGGTCACAATCTCAGGGTCATGAGATCAAGCCCAGCGTTGCATCAGGGAGTCTGCTTGAGATTCTCTCTCCCCATCTACCTCTGCCCACCCCCCCGCTTGCACATGCACTCTCTCTCTCAAAAATAAATAAATAAAATCTTTGGAAAAAATCGCGTAATAAACCTCATCCATTACATTAGATATATTTAAGAAGCTGACGAAAATGCAGGAAACTTAAATGTATATATGCAAATAGTTCAGAACTAATGATTTATTTTGTAGTTATTGACCAACTGGGTAAATATAAAAGCCAGTGTCCTCATGTACAAAATTCTAAAGTTCGAATGAAGCTTAGAATGTGCATTCAAGGGTGCCCGGGGGGCTCAGTTGGTTAAGCGACTGCCTTTGGCTCAGGTCATGATCCTGGAGTCCCAGGATTGAGTCCCGCATCGGGCTCCCTGCTGAGCAGGGAGTCTGCTTCTCCCTCTGACCCTCCCCCTTCTCATGCTCTCTCTCTCTCAAATAAATAAATCTTTAAAAAAAAAAAAAAAGAATGTGCATTCAATTTCTGCACTGGCCAGTCAAGTCTTCAGGAGAGTTCCAGTTCCAGGCCCACAGAATATACTCCTGACAATTCAGCTGCATCAAGTCTTTCTTCAGAAATGAAGTTAAGACAAAAATACATAAATGATCAATCAATCCTGCCCAATCTGATAATAAGGAGGCCTGTAGACTGTTCATGTTACGTAACAATTGTTCATGTTACATAACAATTCTGTCCAATACCTAAAATCTTTTTTTCTTATTAATTCCATGAATATTATACTGATCCAGAAGCTATGTTAGTATTGGGACTACAAATACTTGTAACAGGATAAAACCCTGCCCGTTTATTACATTTAATAAGGCTTAAAATCAGAAAGCATGCTCTATTTTTTGCCATGCAGAATTACAGGGGCAGATTCTTAGTAAAGCTAATAAATGTTTCCAGATGTAAGAACATTATTAGAAGTCCACATTTTTAAGCCATATTTGTGAGGTTTATATATGTAACACAAGTTACCACAGGAAGTATTAGTCGGCAGGGAGAGAGAGGATTTTTTCTTTAAGTCAAAATACAAGGACTAGATAGAACTGTAGTTATAGTTGTTCAGGGGTATTTGGGATATTCAAGTTTCTATTCTCCCTTGACAAACTTTTATAAAATACAACATATTTCAAATAATTTCTAAAGAGGGACTCTAAAAAACGCCTTTTAAACAGCAACTTCCAAATAAGGCAAAGTTGTAGTATTTCTTCCTTACAACTGTTTCCTTCAGTGTCTAATAGTACACCAAAGTCAATAATTTTTGTAATGCCTATTTTATAAGATTGTGCTTTTCATTATACTCTAAACCCTGAAGGACTGCCTTTTTCTTTTCTTTCTTTTTTTGGTTGTTCGTGGAAATCTCTAAATTTCCAACAAGGAATAACAAATGTGAGCAGAAAAGAATCTTCACCTGAGGATTTACTCCAGCAAGAGCCTGCAGCATTTGTTGGATAAACTGCTGGTGTCCCGGTTCAGTGGTTCCTGTCGTGGGACTTGGGTTGTCACTAGGTGCAGAGTTAGAACCGTTGCTTCCTGAAGAGCCTCCAGTGCTTCCTAATGCCCCCAGGCCAGGAGTAAACCTAGGGAAGCACAAATTGGTAATAAACCTAAGCTCCTGCAATAGGATGCCAGACCAGGCCCCTGATGGTAAATCAGTTACAATTTAACACAGTGTTAGCGGTTGTCTTCTTAAAATGAACATTTCTAACTTTGAAAACTCAGTCTTGAAAACAATCTCAACAAAAATAGGCAGAATGCTATTTAAGAGAGAAGTAACCACTATGCACTTTCATAGTCATCCCCAAATAAGCCTACCCTGGGATGAGGCCGGGGGCTTCCGTTGCTAATGTCTGTAAACCCTGCTGAATCTGTAACAAGGCCTGCATTGCTCTAGGATTTGACATTGCCGATAATGTATCAGGATTCTGCATCTGAGGAAGAAAGAAAATAGGTGGTTAACAAGGGAATTAAAATCAGTGAAAAGTAAAATTTAAATATTTCTTTGCTATGTTTCTGGAGAAAATCTAAAACCTTACTCCCAGACACTGGTAATCCACAATTTCTTTCCCCAGATAAACACAAGCACCTCCTCCTCAACAGCAAACGTAGTGTGCAAATTGTTAACTGACCTCCTCCCAAGTCCATCATGAAAGCCATTTTTCATAATGAAAGACAATCAGGAGCTACTGTGGAAGCCACAACTGTTCCCGTTCTCCAACAGAAGATAGAAGTGTTACTTCTAAGAGACAACCTCCAACTGCACAATTTATGTAACGTGGTAACATATGGTAAAAGCCACATATTCCTCCCGACCGAGCATTATCTGTTACCGATTAAACAATTTTACCAGTAAGATACACTCTAAAACAGTAGTTCCAAATTTGAAGTTAATACGTGTCTCCTGAATTCAGCTTCACTACTTCCAAATATACACCACCTGACTGACCAAAAAAGATAGGCTGACATTAACTTCGTTACAAGAGGTCAAGGACAATACCTAACCTTGGATAATGGTTTACAAGCCCAAGAATCATTTGTATAATATTTAAAAGCCCTAGGACTACCAGTTTCAAAACACCAACACTGACTTCTCTTGTCTTTTTAAATAGTAAAATACCATTCCAATCTCAAGTATTTTTTTTTTTATAATAAAACCTTTCTTGTAGGACAACACTGACAATTTTAATTGTGCTAATTCCGAGTCTGAGGAAATGAGATCTACCCCTCCAAAAAGAGACATTCCATTAATTTGTAGGAATTAAGACATTACAAAGAAACCAAACCTATAAAACAGAACAGGGTAGCTCCTTCCTATTACTCGAGATTAGTTAAACCATAAAGCATAACATGACACAATGATGCACTTCAAAGTTAGTAAAGTGAAAGGAAATGGTTTATGGTATTAACGAAGCATTCAAAATCCTAAATCCTCAAAGCAAAAACAAAATGGTCCTTTCCTGAGAATTTAAGAAATATAAGCAAAAGGTCAGCAGTGAAATGGGGCTCAGTTAAGATCAAGCTGAATTCTCTGCAAATTGACAGCATTATCAAACTAACTTCTATGGTTTGCTATCAGCCAGAGAAGAGCACGGAAAATGTTTATCATCAAACTTTTTCAAGCAAATCATTACCGAAGGTAGCTAGCATCTTTTCTTACTCACTTGTTGGAGGAAAGTTGGGAGCTGTTGTCTCATTTGTTCTTGAAGCTGAGGATTTCCAGCAAATAGGGGATTATTCAGCATCATCTATGGGGCAAGTGTTCAAACAATTTTAACTGGAAATATCTGAAACAAGTAATGTACCTTGTTTAATAGTCTATCTTCCCCCAAGTGCCTAACCTGGCACTTACAGGGAGGAAGGTAGAACATGAATAAAAAAGGAGAAGGGAAGATACTGTCTACAAGAGGGATCTCCAGAAAAAAACAAAAACAAAAAAACAAAAAATGAGGCATCTTCTCTCTCAATGAGAATGATGATTATGATAATGACATGCAAAATCCTAAAAAGTAAAAACAATCATTCTCTTAGGATTTTCCTTGAGCAAAGATGAGTATTTGCCCTTGGAAAAAAAAAGGGTAACTGGCATTCAGGAGGATACATTTGCTGCTACACTGACAAAATAAACGTAAGCATCAATACATGAAACAATACATGGCTTGCTCAGACACCTCAACACACAAGTGGCAAGCACAGAGAAAAACCCAGATCTGGAACCACTATATCTATCTACCTGCCTACTGCAAAACAGCTAGTATTAGGTCCAGAAAAATAACACCACAGAACAGCAACCACCCTGCCAGAGAAATGGAGCTGCTTAGGTGAAAATCGGCCCAGGACTAGCACCAAGAGATCTGTGGGGCAAGTATTAAAATGTGTTAAGACCTTAAAGATGTAAATCCGTTTGAGAACACCAAGATTAGCCTCTGGATTTCACCTCACTACCACCAGAGATGAGGAAACTGGCATGCCTCCTAACGTTCACACAGGTGTTAAGAATTAAAGTCAGGGTCAATATTAACGTTAAAATGTTAACGATACACGATCAGCATAACTAGAAACTAATTCTCATAGCTTTGAAAAAGATGAAAGTTTTATCACTTTCCCCAGGAGTGAAAAGTCAACTGACAATGATTTACTAATCACCTATTTACCAGTCCAAAGTCTGGAGGGTAAAGTGAAATGATCCTTGCCCTCAAGTAGTTAACCATATTTGAGAGCAATTAATTTATATGTACACACTAGAAGTAGAGAGAATTCCACTTTCCCTCCTTTGTCTGTTGTTACAAAGTGGATTATTTAGTTAATTTCAACAAAATAACAAAAGTAGGAGGAAGTCAATGTTTTATGGATATACAGTATTTGTTTCAAAGTGACCAATAAAATTCACAGTAAATAAAATACGAACTTGAGATAAACCCGCTTCTTTATTGGCTCCAGTAAAATACTTTTTATTATGAACAGATTAATAAAGTTATCACATTATCTTTCAGGATTCATGTCATTTGAGACAGCATGGCATCTTAAACTGATTCATTCTTTCTCAGAAAAGCATTATCTCGTTTAAGATATTCTTCCTAACTTACCGGACTATACAACAATACATTTTATATGCTAAGACTTTTTTGAATATCTAAGAATCAAAATCAGAATAGAGAAACTAAAAAACTTTAATTTGCTGATAACCAGAGTACGCTGTAAACATTTCTAAACTGTCTACAATAAAAGACATCCATATCTAGCCCTCTTTTGCTTTAGAGTGAAAAAACAATATATCAAAGTGCTCAAGTCACTTCATAATGTTGTTCTAATTAAATGGCTGGGAATGTGCTTATTAAAGTCAAAATTTTTAAACAAGATGCACATTCAGTGCTAATTAATCAGACATTTAAAAACATACAAATACCATCACAACATATTTATTTTCCACATTTTAAACAAAAGTGCTATGATCACAATAAGTTGAGCATTTAATACTAATAACTCAGATAATTTTATATGAATAAAACAAGAGTATACAAAAATCCACCTAAAAACTTGTTGTTTCCAATTCCACAAATATCAAGAGGGCAGAAGTTACCGCTGAGGATTATAACGCAAAGATATATGCTATATACGTGAATCAATATGGTTCCAGACTTTAGAAAATAAAAACCATTTCGTTTGACATAATGAAGAAAGAAAAGTGATTAACAGCTTTTAGAATTTTAGAAATGAGAATACACTATAAAGGAAAATAGGAGTGCCTGGGTGGCTCAGTCATTAAGTGTCTGCCTTCATCCCCCTCCCCCATTAAGCAGGGGTCCTGGGATCAAGCCCTGCATCAGGCTCCCTGCTCCGCCAGGAGCCTGCTTCTCCCTCTCCCGCTCCCCCTGCTTGCGTTCCCTCTCTAGCTGTCAATCTCTGTGTCAAATAAATAAAATATTTTAAAAATAATAATAATAATAAATAAAGGAAAATATTTATAATCCCTAACACTTTATAGAAGCCATTTTTAATACCCAGCAAATAAAAACTACCAATGATCAAGGTTATTTAATATTCTCCAAGGTTTTTCAAGCCCAGTTGTTCTTAACCTAGGGGCACATCAGAATTGCCCAGGGAACTTCAGGGAGAGGGGAAATGCAATGTAATTACACCAAAATCTCTCAGGCTGGAGAGATATTTTTAACTTTAAAGCTCCCAAAGTGATCCTATAAATGTTCAGCCAGGGTTGAGGTCCCCTAATTCCCTTAGTTATGGTCTCTTCAAATCAAGTTAGAAAATGAATAAATTAATAAAATACCATTATACTATCTTTGGGGGGGATCTATGACGGAAAAAATGAGAATACTGTTCCCACAAATCTCCCTCTGCCTTTAATAAATGATTTCAGGCTATTTTATAACTGCTATTTTGAACATGACTATTACTCAAAATCTATGTGATCTAATAAATACAAGTATTCTAAGAAATGTATTAACACTGCACTTAATCACTTTCAAGATTTACATTTCACTAAAGAATACATCTTCCAAAGGGAGAGTAATCCAAAACTTTGTATTCATCTTCTAAATCAACATATGTAGACACAAAGTAAACCTACACTTCCTTCTAGCCAATAAACAGCAGAGATGAAACTGTTTTAATTATATATGAAGAATTAGTTTACTGCAAAGAAACGAAATGTCCAAAATATTGGAGATGCAGTTTACCTACTTTTCTAGTAGGTAACACAACACAACCCAAATGTGCCAAAATCACAATTATTTGATTAGGCTATTTCAATTCACACTGCACAGTCCTTTTTAATACAATTACAAACTCACCTGTGCAGCAAGGTCAGGGTTCTGACTTAGGGACTGCATCATGCTTCTCATGTAGGGGGCAGACAACATGTTTTGCATAAGTTGTGGGTTTTCAGTTATTTGTTGCAACAAGCTCTGCATTCCTGGTGTGTTGAACATACTAGCTGAAAGTTTGTTAAAAAAAAAAAGACATTGTATCAAGGAAAAGACACATAAAAGTGAAAGCTTTAAAATACAATATATACCACGTGTAATTTTAGGAAATGCAGATGAGCATACATTTTACTAATCAATTGAACCAAGAAAGAATTTTAAAACTAAGATCTCCAAAACTACACACTCAACATATACCTGGTAAAGGAGGGTTTATGATATTGAACATTCTGGTTACATTTACAGTAAAATCACATCTAATGGAAAGGCTAGGTTCTAAAGTCAATTTAAGAAGCAAAAATTAGATATAGTCGAAATTACTATTGAAAATCCCATATAGAGAGTAAGTCTGGGCCAACATTTCCTCTAGGACTGCTTAATTAGAAGAATCACGTCCAGCATTTGATATGCTCATACTTAAAGAAAGGAAGCCCTCTCATATCCAGGAAGCCACAGATGCAGCCTCCATCCCATTTTAACTCAGTACTGACACTCACTCAGCAAAATAGCAGGCACATTTAACATTTCAGAGCACAGACTAAGAACAGTGACTAGAGCCGGATTACTTGGGTTCAACTCTAATCTAACTACGTAACCTTGGGCAAGTTATTTGGCTTCTTCATACTTCCAGCTTCCCCATCTGTCAAATGGAATAAAGAGTATCTACTGCACAGGGCAGGTTGTGACAATTAAATTAATGTGCAAAAAGTGCTTGTTACTTATTTTTTTTTTGCTAAGAGCTATAGCTAAATTTATGCAAATTCAACTTTCTTTAAAAACTAATTTGCTCAACACATAACCAGATTTTCACTTGAAGACTAGATATACTCAACCTCAAATATATTCTCAAACTCATTATACGCAAACTTAACTCCTCATTTTTTTCATTTCCCTCTGCTCTCATTCCATCCAGTGTAATTTGATCAGGCTTAAAACACTGACACTTCCCATTTATTTTTCTAGTTTATTTTAATTTTGCTGGGGGTTTTTTGGTAATCATTCTTTTTTTTCCCTATTTTCTCAAGTTGTTTCAATTAGGTTATTTTCAACATCCTGGAGTCTAACCCAAGTGTTGACAAACAGCCTGCAGAGCAAATATGGCCCATGACCTGTTTCTGTACAACCCGCAAACTGAAAATGGTTTTACATTTTTGAATGGTTAAAGAAACAAAAATTTATTTTGTGAAATGTGAAAACTATATGCAATTCAAACTTCAGTGTCCCTAAATAACATTTTCTTGGAACACAGTCCTGCTAAGGCGTTCACAGTCTATGGCTGCTTGTGTACAACCAAGACCGAGTAGTTCCAACAGAGGCTGTGAACGGCCCTCTCCTACTGCGGCTCAGTGCATGCACCACACTACCGCTGTAGCATGCTGTTATTTTTTAACTACCAGTATATACCAATCACATAAGAACAAGAAGAAAAAGAGAAAGTTGGACTACAAATATTGTGCTTTTAAGGCACAATGGAGCATGGATTATTTTATCAAATGAGATGGTAAAGCACTGTATTTTTATGCAATGACACTGAAGGAATACGATATACTTCAACATTGCTAGACTAAGCACTCATCACAGTACAGTATTCCCAACTCAGAGGTAAGCAACAGTCAAGAAAATACAAAATTTAAAATGCAGCCATCTCATCATAGCCAGATTTCTTTACAGAAATAAAAAATGAAAATAAGCCTACAACCAGTTAAGTTGCCAAGTGGCTTATTTGTTAGCCAAAAAGGAAAGCAGTAAGTATACTAGTAGTGATTAATTGGCATGCTTAATGAAATCTTGATTGCAGAGAATGTGTCCAGAGAAAATAACTCGTTTAAACTCGTTTAAATCCATTAGCCTTTCAAGGGTAACAATTTCTCAAAAGTTAAGGACACTGGGCTCACAGCATCAATATTCAATTAAACAATGCAAATTTTTCTGAGTGGTATTCCTTTGTTTTTAATGAGTTGACAGATGTTACTGCTCAGCTGTTTGAAAAGTCAATGCCAAATTTAAAGTGACTGAAAAATTAGCTTTTATAAACAGTCTGCATAGAACTACAGGCAAAAAACTACTTTCAAAGTCGAGAAAATATTAATTCAATGCAACCACTGAAATAGAATCAGCTAAGATGTGCATATCTGATGATGATGAAAACATATGTGGAGGACAAAAAGGATTAGTTAAATAAGGAAAGCTTATAAAAAAAACATTAGGTATTTAAAAAATATGGTTATTCATTGTCTTATTCATCAGCAGGTACTCCGGAAAATATTTTGAACTGTCATGTTATTCAACCAGTAGGAGTATGAATGGTGAACACCATTTCACTCTTGTGAACTTCGTGATAGATAGTCAATTCCATGAATTTTTGTCAGAAATATCCTGACTTGTCCAACCACACAGCAGCAGTTTGATGGCTTACCAGAGGTCAAGTTTAGTTTTGTAAGAGGTAAAGTTTTACTTCAAAATTTTTTTTAGCTAAAGGCTAAGACTGAAATTCTGAACCACTTAACCACCATTACCAAACACCAAATGACTCTGGAAATTATCTTTTGCTAGAGAGTTGGTAATGTTTCCCAATGAATTCTACCCATAATTATAAGGCAAACGGCATGCAAACATGTGAAACTCATACTGCGGTGAAGTGATTTTGACAACAGCAGAAACTGTTTAAACGACAACGTCAAGGTGCTTTATACATTCTCTTGCTGTCAAAAGTTAAAATGAGATCTCCATTCCCACAAATTTACAGTAGATATTTTTTTTTAGATCATACTACGGTACAGCAGCATTTTTTGGGCCTCAATACAAGTGCAAAGAAAATCCACATTTCAAAATTCATTTAACTGTAATTGAGGTCCTACCACCTAACCTTCAATTGGAAGTGATTAATCTGCAAAGACATGTTAAAGGCAAAGAAGAATCTAACAGAATCCTATAAATGCTTCCAACTGACGACTATGCTATTAAAATCATATACTTTTGGAATAAGGACGTATTTAGGTAAAATCTCATTACACATCACACTAACAGATGAACATGCAATTTGATTTTGACAACAGGAAACACTGTGAACATCAATTAGCAAATGTCATCCCTAAAAAAGAATTCCATTCCTATCATTAGTAGGTACATATGAAAAAGTATTACACTCAATTTTTACTATATTTTTACTTATCATAATGTCTTTTCTCTCATAATATTATCGCTTTGCTCTTGATATGCAAGGCCTAAAGTATTACCTGGCCCCTTGCAGGAAAAATCTGCTGACTCCTGCTCTAAGATTTCCTCACCTTCTACAGTAAGTGCTTACAGGGCAAAAGAAGAGTCAAGAGTTTTATCTTTACAGGTACGTGTGTATATATGTGTGTATGTGACTGCAAAGAGTTGAGTAAAAAATCACAATAATGTACACTATGCTAACAAATTGTTAGGCCAAAAAAAAAAAAAAAAACTTAAAAAAACAACAACAACAAATTGTTAGGCCAGCAGAATCCATTCCCTTTTGCTGTTTTTTGTTCTCCTTTGATGGAAACAATAACATGAAATCTTAAAGTATCAAGCCATTACATAAAAAATCTGAATAAAAGGTCCCAAAACTGATTTTTTGACAAAAGTTGTTACTGTAGATAACCATGCTATAGTTAAAAAAAAGCAATTCATGGGTGCCTGGGTGGCTCAGTTGGTTACAGCTCAGGTCATGATCCTGGAATCCCGGGATCGAGTCCCACGGCTCCCTGCTCAGTGGGGAGTCTGCTTCTCCCTCTGACCAACCCCCCAATGCTCTCTCTCTCAAATAAATAAATAAAAATCTTTAAAAAAAAAAAAAAAAAGGAAATCTGATTAAATCTTTGCTCTGTCTGCTCTCAGATCTTTGAAATGTGAATAAAGTATCTCTCTCAAAACATAGTTTAAGAATCAAAAACATAGTTTAACATAGCTTAAGTAACAGAACAGGATAATTTTTTTCCTGATTAAAAATGGTATTACTTCAATGTGAACTAGACTGACTTACTGTGGTGATCATTTGGGAATAACTAACGCTATGTCAAATATAGTTCAATTTTTAAAAATGGCAATACTTCAATTTTTATCAACTCTTTATTATATTCAAAAACTTCATGATACCCACTATGGTCTATAAAGAATATCTACTACAGTGACCACCAATGACTCTCCATTATGACTTCTCTCAGTAATGACCTTTTGAAAAATTCCTCCTCCAGCACCTCACCTTTCCACTCCCTCTGCCAAACACCAGCCATCTCTGAAAGCACATCCAAGTCCTTCTCACTTGAGGGAAGTGGCCCCATGCTTTCATTTCTTCTCATTTCCATGCCAAGCACGAGGACTAAAATCATCACTAGCTACAGATTTTAGACCTAATGCTTATCATCTGAATAGCTGAGAAAAGGACTTCCATTTATTGAGTCTAGTCTACGGAGAAATGATCAAAAGTAAATTCCTAACCTGTTCACATATCAGAATCTCCAGCAGCTTTATACACAGATCTTAAAGCCGCTGTAGATGATTCCAATCCATGAGGTCTGAGGTTAGGACCCGGGAATCGGACTTGTAACAAAGCTGGCAGGTGCTCTGATCCAGCCCATTTAGCCCTGGTTTTAGGACTGGAGTGTGAGAATCCACCAATCTACCATAGAAACTAAAGCCAAGAAAACACATGCTCCAGTAGGGAGTCCACAGGTAACTATTCTCTCTGCACTTCAGTTTTCCTACTGTTGAAATGAGATAACCATTTTCTAATGAGATAGTTTTGGGAGAAGTGGGTGGTCATCTCATCAGTAACCCTTTCCACTATAATGCACACAAGCGATTAATACTAATCACTACATATTTAAAACTTCCATTAAAAAACTTGCAACATGAAAAGATAATTCATAAAAGTTACTTCACACACACACACACACACACACAGCACAAAGAGTAACAGTATAAAAATGTTTTCACTATTCAAATAAGTGAGGATAACAAAGAAAAACAGTGTGAGCTGTTATGAGCCTACCTCCTACTCCAGGCCCCAAATTTGGCGCAGATGAACTCTGCCCAGAAGTGCCACTGGCAGCACTCCCAGCAGTGCCCCCCACAGCACTGGTGGTCCCACTGGAAGCCGAAGAACTCTGGGAAGCCTGTGGAGCCCACGGATTGGGTAACGGATCTCTATTTTCTGTACGGGAAGGTTGACTACCTTCACCTGAGGATGTATTGCTCACTAGGGAAGCGAATGGATTACCACCAAACTGTAATAAAAGACACAAAAATCATAAAGAATAAGCTTTTGTTTTAAATTACAGATATGGAACTCTTTTTTGAATGACAACTGTATTCCCCATATAAAGGTACCCTTCAATCACACGCATATTTGTGTTAAAACAGGAAGTACCCTTTGGCCTATGCCCTAGGGGCCTGCATTATCACCTGTTCTTGTGCAGCACTCAGCATTGGTTCCTGAATATCCGTGTACATGCGCCGTAAAGCATTGTATCCCCCTGGGATGCTTTCTAGGTTGCTCAAGGCTCGGTCCTGGTTTCTCATCATTTCCTGCATCATTGCCGGATTCCTGGCAAGTTCCAATGTCTACGAAAAAGATATCCATATAAAAAGGCATTGAAATACACATGAACTAATTTAGCCATTCACTACTACAGCTGATTTGTTTACAAGTTTTCTAACTATGAATTAGCAGTCTTCAATAATTAAATCGGAAACTTATTTCCAATAATTCCTGCTGGATGTCACCTCAATCTAACATTCAAATAACACCAAGAAAGAAGCACTCTGTTGTGAATGAATGCCCATCTCCTGAATTGGATTCTTTTTGTTTCTTAAATCTGCAAAATAACTGTTTACAGTGATCTTTAAAATATAGCAGAAAATTCAAATTTCAAATAGTCCAAATTAGTGTGTTGAGTTTTCCTGAACAAATACCATTATTTCTTTTGGTAGCTTAGCCATCTACAAAAGGCAAGCTCCTTAAGCACAGAAAATTAAGAACTAAGTATATAATTCTTTAGCTAAGTGAGCTGAAAGAACTTTCCACATACTTGTCTCATAATATCTGGATTATTCAGCATATGACTAATTTCTGGATTTCTCTGAATCAACTGCTGCATTTGCGGATTGGCCATAATTAACTGTCTCATTAGGTCAGGATTTGAGAGCATGCTCTGGACAAAGGGATTCTCCATAATCTGGACCATCATTTCAGGATTGGACATAAGTTGCCGCTGCATCTGGCTTTGTAGTTCAGAGAAGTTAGTAGTATTCAAACCCAAGCTACTCAGACCTGCAAGCCCTCCAAGGCCACCTAAGAAGATAAAGGGAAAAAGACACATAAATAAAAGTCAGAAATTTTATCATTAATATGACTGTGCTAAAATATGAAAATGCAAAAATAGTGACTCAATAGTCCCATTATGGAAAACCACTTGTTTTTAAAGACTTTATTTGAGAGAAAGAGAGCAGGAGGGGGGAGGGGTAGAACGAGAGGGAGAAGCAGACTTCCCCCTGAGCAGGGAGCCTGATGTGGGACTCGATCTCAGGACCCTGGGATCATGACCTGAGCCAAAAACAGACGCTTAACTGGCTGAGCCACCCAGGTGCCCTAGAAAACCATTTTAAAGCACACAGAATTCCTATTACTTTTAAAAACACATGTTTGATTTCTGTAATTAGTATTAGCCAAAAATCCACTCACTTTGATATTTAAGTTTAAATAATAAAACCAACCAAAATACGTATTTCCTGTGTGGCTCAGTTGGTTAATGTCTGCCTTTGGCTCAGGTCATGATCCCAGGGTCCTGGGATCGAGTCCCACATGGGGCTCCTTGCTCAGCAGGGAGTCTGCTTCTCCCTCTCCCTCTGCCTGCCACTCCCCCCGCTTGTGCTGACAAATACATATAAAATCTTTAAAAATATATACTTTAAATATGTATTTCCTACGTGTGATATAATACAATATATTTTTGGTCTTTGTCCCAGATTCCTGGCACAGAGCTCTTAAAAGCCTTAGAAGTTCCCGAGTAAAGGGAGTGTCTTTTGTTCTACATTACAAGCCCCTTTAGATCACACTTCATTTATGCCAATTAATTACTTAGTGTGGGGCACCTAGATAGCCTCTGGATGGGTGATCACCAAAAAGACCAAGTGACAAAAGAGTTGGTACTTCTAGCCCCACCCACCAACCTCCAGGAAGGGGAGGAAAAAGAGCTAGATTTGAGATTGAGCTATGTAAAAACTCTTGAGCAATGAGATTCAGAAAACTTACATGTTGGTGAACACTTCTAGGGCATGGGAACTGCACTCTCCTACACCCCCATTTCTTGCCCTATGCTTCTCTTCCATTTGTTTATTTCTAATAAACTGGTAAACATAAGTAGTGTTTTCCTGAATCTTGTGAGCTATTCTAGCAAATTATCAAATGTGGAGGGGAACTATGGGACCCCCCAATTTATAGCCTGCAGGTCAAAACACATGGTCCAGTACCTAGACTGGTATCTGAAGGAGAGGCAGTCTTGGGGGACTGAATGACACACTTTTAAATCTATGGGATTGGACACTAACTCCAGGGAAGTACTGTCAGAACTGAACTACGAGACACCCAGATGGTGTTGCAGCATTGGCCGGTGTCACAGAGATACCCTAGAACATGCCCTCTCAAAGGAAAGATGCTAGTAGAATTCACCTATAAACTCTAGTTAGAACAGAGCTGCTGCTGATCAAGGAGAGAAAAGGCCAGGACATACAATGGAAACAGATGTCTCTTTGGAGGAATTTGGTCATGGAAAAACCTAACAGATCCAAGATGATTGAGTGATTATCATAAAATGTTAACTGTCAAAATTACATAACCAACCAAATGCATTCATTCAAGTAACAACAGGGAATAACTACATAGAGAAGAGGTATGGAAAGAGATTTAGCGGGGAAGAGGTTGTAGTTCAAGGGGCAAGAGAAGAGTTTTTTTTATTTGTTTTCCTTATTTACTGGGCACTTTCTAATAGGCCAAGGACTGTGCTACTACCCACACAGGGAATAACATGATAAGAAACAAGTACTACATACAGAACTCAATATAGTGGGAAGGCAGACAAGGAAAACAAATACAGAATAAGTACTTTAATAGAAATGGCCACAAGATACTATGGTGATATAGTACCTAAGTGGGATGGCTACTTTCCTAAGATGACACTTAATGAGTATAGGGAATGAATAGGCTGGCAAGAAATGGGAAGGACTGGAAGAAAGATTTAATAGTAAGCACAACAAACATTATATACAAAAAGCATAGAGATAAATAGGACTACTGATGTGTTCCTGAAATCACAAAAAATTCAGTCTGACTAGAATGGCAGATAGCAGTGCTCACCAAACATTCCACGTGCAGCCTTTTATTTCTTTTGCAGTTGGACAGACCCATGTGACTAGTTATGACCAAAGGACTGCAAGAAATGCATCACTTCTGGCCCAAAGTACAGAATGTCCAGCTTGAGACTCCTGGCTATCTCTTCTGCCATGTCCCAAGTGATGTAGCTACAAGATGGCAGGATTCCATTAGCCTGAGTCCCTGAGGACGGACCATGTAGATGGGGGCTTCACTGCAGAATGAAGGAAAGCTTTGGAGCAAGAAATTAAGCTTTGTGGTAAGAAGCTACTGAGTTTGAGGTTATCTATTACCAAAAGATAGATAACCTAATAAAACTGCTGAGCTGTGTTAAGAAATGAGAATGGAGAGGTAGGCAAAAGCTAAATCATAAAGTCTTGACAGATTTTAAGCACAACAATCACTTCAGATGTTCTTATTCTAATAACAGTATAGAAATGACTCAGAGTAAACATTACAGATTTTTAACAAGTCAAGAAACTGCATCAAGGAAGTGACAACGGAATATTTGCAAGGGATGCGATAGAGAAGAGCTATGGAGAGAGTTAGTGGGGAAGAGGCAGCAGTTTGAGGGGCAAGGTAAGAGTTTCTCCATTTGTTTTCTTTTGCTTTCTGAGGAGACACACACAGGCTAAAGTACTAGAGAACATCAAGTAATATCAAAGAGGAGAGCTGAATAAAGACATGGAGTTCACAGCAAGTGCTCTGGGCTGAGGTACAGATTTGAGAATCACCAAGATACAGGAGGAAGATAATGTCCTAACAAGAAGAAAGACAAGGCAGTACTCTGGGGAACAATACCAATCAAAAGAAAAGAAACCCATAAATGAGACAGAAAGAAAAAGCCAGAAAATTAACCAGGGAAAAATAGTTACAGGAGTTAATAGGAAGAAAATTTCAAGGACAGACTGGTAAGCACTGAGAGAAACTGAATTAAAACAAAAATGTGTCCACTAAATTTGGCAAGCCAAGAGGTCAATAGTGACCTTACCAAATGAATTTTCAATGAAGTGATGGGGAAAAAAACAGCACAGCAAACTTAGTGAAAGGGAAATACAGACAGAAAAAGGAAAATGCCTCTTCCAAAGACAGCTAAGAAGAGAAGCAAAGGAAAGGGTGATGGTGGGATTCTGTAGCTTTTATACATGGGCTGGGCCTTCATGAGAAGAGGCACCAAAAAAGAAAAGCTAACTATATAGGGTAAATGGGAATAAATGATGAAGAAAAGCAACTGAGATAGGAGGGGACAGGAATGAGACTGGAAATGGAAGGAAATGGGGGAGATGTATGGCCTCAGACAAATTAACTAAAAGCTTGTCTGGGCTTCAATTTCTTTGCCTATAAAATGAGAGAAGGGAATTGCCTATAAAATGAGGGAAGAGGGAAGAGATTTACTTCAACAATACCTTTCATGACTCTGAACATTAAATCATTTCATCCTAATCTCTCCAGATTGTTCATGTCAATAATTCTGCCATCTAAAATTTACCAAAAGAGATATATTTACCCTAAGATCATTCTAGAAAACAAAAGCAGCAAAAATGTAAAAATTAAAAAAAAAAAAAAAAAAAAGGAAATGTGAATCCCTGCCATACCCTAAAAGGTTTCCAACATAGTTGGCACAATAGAACTAAATTACTAAAAAACTTTTTCTGGAAGGAAGGGAAGGTATGATCCTTGATGTGCAAATGACATTTTTAAATGTCATTTCAAAGTACTATTATACAACTTAAAAACTGAAAGAAGCACCGAACCATTTAGCTATCTAGTTGAAATGTCTGTTAGTTTCAGAATACTCTTTTTCCTCAACAAAACCTTCCACAGATCCTCACTATAAAACTGATATAAGAAAAGTGGTTTGGGCTGATGCAGGAGCTCCTTAGCCAATGGACTTGCTCCTAGGCCCCAACCCTCCGCTGTGTGTTCAAGACACTAATGGAAGTCTGAGTCCTTCGTTTTACAAATCAGAAAATTATATTCAGGGGGTTAGCTTAGCTTACGATCAACAGTTAGCTAATCTTCCTCAGATTCAATGATGTGGTAAGTCAGATCAGGTACACATATGCCACATCTCTTTGATTATTTTTTTTAAAAAAAGTGCCACTTATTTATCACTTATTAAATGTGAATGTAAGCTAACCAAGCACATCTGTATTCCCAAATACTTCCTTAACACCTATAATTGAAGAAATAAGCTACAGACGTAATAATTGTTGTTGTTGTGGAAGTGACTTAATGTTTAATTCTATCATTTTATCCAAAACCACCCGGGTGAAAAGGAGTTTTTTTTCCTATCCCTGTAAAATAATTAAAGACACTTACCTAAACCAAAAGGGTTGCTAGTGGCAGAACCAGATGTGGAGTTAGTACTAGGAGCTGAGGATGTGGTAACGTTGCTTCCACTGGTATTTGTTTGCTGAGCTGAATGATCCTGAGGCCTAGGAAAAATAACCAAATCATGGTATAAACAGTGGAACTAATTATTTTTAAAAGAACCTCTGAAATTCAGAATTCTCAGAAATAAAAGTGTAAGTTTTCAGACCAATTCAAATTGTCATAAGGTAAATACCCTGAGATAACTAAGCATTAAATATAAAGAAGCATAGCAAAATCCTATACAAGTTAAACTGTACTTCAACTGCCCCCCACCTCCAGTATAGGTACATAAATATTTCACTACTTTCAAACATAATGATAATTTAAGATATGGAGATGGGTCACCCCAGAGAAGAGAAATCAATGACTAGTCACACCTACAAAGCTTGACTATATAAGCAATTTTTTTTTATCTACCCCCTTCTAAGTTCTTGAGGATTGGGGGCAGTTCTACTCAGCCTCTTGAAATTGTTAAAAGTAAAATATAAAAAGACATCACCAAAAGCAAACTAAGAAATCAATACCAGTAATAACTGGTATTAATTACTTAATATTATCTTTAGGTAAAAAAATAGAGATACTTTATTGGAAACCCCTTCCATCTGATACCAGTTAAGGGTTCTGAATCTCACTGCTTCTTTCACTGATTCTAAGATGTACATTTTTTCATTATAACATTTCTGAAATCAAGATCTCTTACAATTGCTGACAACCAGGCACCAATTGTCATGCCTATGCATATGTATTCTGTAGAACTTCAACTAAGTGATTATACCAGACATGCTGTGCTATTTAATAGCACATAAAATGTCTTCAGGAGGGGCACCTGGATGACTCAGTCAGTTAAGCATCTGCCTTCGGCTCAGGTCATGATCCTGGGATCCTGGGATTGAGCCCTGCATCAGGCTTTCTGCTCAGTGGGGAGTCTGCTTCTGCTTCTGCCTCTCCCTCTGCCCTTCCCCCGCTCATGCTCGCTCTCTCTCAAATAAAATCTTAAAAAAAAAAAAGTCTTCAGGAAGATTTCACTATTAATTGGTACTAATAAAGTTACTGTGTATACAGAAAAGCATAAGAACAGGAACAGAAGGAATGAATTTTGTGTCAGGGAAACAACTATTTGCTGTTGGGGGAAAACCAGCATAAAACTTTGCAGAATGGGTGTCAGTGGCTTGGAAGAAACTCCTGGAGAAAATATTGTAGCACTCTTTTATGAAATGCTGCACCACCAACTCTCAACAGTAGAGTTTCATCACATATGCAAAAACATGAATACTTATGATGAAGTCAAAACGTGATTCAAAAGAATCACTCAATGTGAAGTAGTGTTAGGAAGACTTTAACCAATTTATTTCATGTATATTTTCTTTGTAGGTATGCATAAGAGTTATATCCAAAAATAAGTCTAAAGGAGCTCTTTCACTAAATATAGAATAAAAATTTCAAGTGAAAAGAAAACGTAACAGTTTGTCCGTATTTTTTATTAGTGATACACAATATGAAGGTGTCTCTTAAAAACTGATAATGAAGGGCACCTGAGTGGCTCAGCTGGTTAAGCGTCTGCCTTAGGCTCAGGTCATGATCCCAGGGTCCTGGGATAGAGCCCTGCACCTGGCTCCCTGCTCAGCGGGGAGCCTGCTTGTCCCTCTACCTCTGCCCCACCCCACTTGTGTTCGCTCACACTCTCTCAAATAAATAAAACCTTAAAAAAAATTGATAATGAAATATGGCTACTCATTTGTGGTTTATCAAGGAGATGAGTCACCTCTGAATCTTGTCCAAAAATCTCCCTAAAACAAAAAGCATCGCTAAAAACATACTAACTTGCTTATCCTATAATGCAAATAATTTGGAATTGACTTAATTTAGAAATATGACTTAATACTGATGAACTCCTTAAAATATCAAATGTGTAAGCATCAGCATTACTTAATCATTTGTTTTTTTTTAACTTGTTACCAACAACAAATAAATGAATTTTTTATCTATTTAAGTATTAATGTCAGAGAAAGCCATGTAAAGCCAAAACTGGTTATTTTTTTTAAAGATTTTATTTATTTATTTGAGAGAGC